TACCTTGATACAATACCTTACCTTACCTTACCTTGAGCCAACACCTGTATGCACTAGTTACTTTACTGTATGTCTTGTTTATTGAACTTAATTATCGTGTTTTTATTGTCTTTTGTTCTATTATAAAACATATTGTTATGGTATTGTTATTATTGTTAAAACACACACACACACACACACACACACACACACACACACACACACACACACACACACACAGACAGAAGACAGAACTTGCAAAGGTTAAGTCATTTGATTTATCTATTCCTAATTATTGTTTATCATCATGTTATAGTTAGACTCCACCACTTACCTGTCGCTAATGACGTAATTACAGGTGAGAGTTGTTAACCTGATGCCGTCTATTATTGTACTATTATTTTATTTAACAATTATATCTATAACTTCTTCCTCTTTATTACTGGATAATTTGTCTATTATTATTATTATTATTATTATTATTATTATTATTATTATTATTATTATTATTATTATTGTTGTTGTTGTTGTTGTTATTGTTGTGTTTATCGTTCTTCTCACTATAATTATTACTCTATATTATTCTTATCATTATTACCATTAACACTTGAAGCAGAAACGTTCACACGAGTTCAAAACTGTTTAGTGAGAGAGAGAAAGAGAGAGAATTACCTCCTAACCTTGGTCTAATAAACACCTCGGAGTCATCACGCTGTACCAGGACCTTAGTTGATCAGTGAGCAAAGTTGAACTACAATTGGCTGATCAGTTTGTGATGCTTTCTAGCTGAAGGACATATTACCTGAAAACACACACACACACACACACACACACACACACACTACTGAATCTCTCCTACCTGGTGTTCATTTCACCATAAATCTTCCTCTCTCCTTACACACGCAGTCATCTTATTACGTCACATTTATATCATCACCACGCCTTGACGTCATCACTACACCCTGCCGTCATCACCACGCCTTGACGTCATCACTACACCCTGACGTCATCACTACACCCTGACGTCACCACCACGCCTTGTCCTCAAAATATACAATCAGATTAATGTCCTTCGTTTAACGTTCCCAAAATATTTTAACCTTGATCTCCTTCTAATCAGTTCCCAATCACCCCACCAATCACCCCCCAATCACCCCCACCAATCACCCCCCAACAATCACCTCACCAGGGCCAGTAACCAGACTATTGATCTTACCTGTAATCTGTTCTTCATTACCCACCTGTTGTGTCGGTAATGTGAGTCAATTCTGTTCCTGCTGGTTTAGTTGATACGCACACACATACAGACATACACACATACACACACACACACACACACACACACACACACACACACGCTGGAAATATGTCGACGACTCCACCATTGGGATCAGCGTCAACAATTCTACTCCCAACTATACCGCCCTTCAGGATTTATTGAACAGTCTTCAAAACTGGGCCACCAACAACCATGTCACCATCAACCATACCAAGACCATGGTTATGCACATCAACCTCTCCTCCGACATTGTCCCACCTCCTTCCATTACTTTAGGTCCGAACACACTCCAGGTTGTAGATTCCACGAAGCTCCTCGGCGTCACCATAGACAACAAACTAAATTGGAAACCACACGTCAGTGAAGATGTCAAATCCTCCAGTTTCCGTCTCCACCTCCTCCGCCGACTCAAGTCCCTCGGAGTTCCTGCAAGGAGCTCCTCAGTGTTTACACAACATTCATACTCCCAAGCTCACCTATGCCTCCCCACCTGGTCTTCCTCCCTAAATGCCACACAACGTAAACACCTAGAAAAAGTGCAAAAGAGGGCATGCAAGATTATTCTCTCCCCTTCCTACTCCACTTATCAAGAAGCGCTCAACACACTGACCCTCTCGGCTCTCACTAACCATCACCACGACCTCATCTGCAAATTTGGTAAGAAGCTTCTACACCATCCTCGACACCGGCTCCTACTACCACCTGAGATCCTTAGCCTGAGAATTGCTGTTCGACACCACAACCGCATCCAGCCCATACGTGCACGAACTGATCGCTATAAGAACAGCCCAGTCCCAACCATTGTAAAAATTGTCAATAACTAGTAATAGACCAGTGTATTCACTCCCAGTAAATACTACTTCTTGCACTGTCACTATGTTGAAATGCCCTGTAGTTTGAGCTTTTCCCCATCTAGTTATTATATATCTTATTTGTGTCACTTATGTTACTTGTATATTATTTATAATTCGAAACCCATTCCCCAAATATGTTACTGTATATTTTCAGCCTTCTGGCTGCCAAGCTCTTTCAATAAACCGTTAATTATTATTATTATTATTATTATTATTATTATTATTATTATTATTATTATTATTATACATCACATCCTCTCCTCCTCCTCTTACTATTCTTCTTCGTCTTTTAAACCTCCCACTTTCACCTTCACCTCCTCCTCTTCCTTCTTCTTCTTCTTCTTCGTCTTCTTCTTCTTCCTTCTCCTCTTGTTTTTTCTTCCTCTTTCTCTTCATCCTTCTCCTCTTCCTCCTCTTCCTTCTGCCTCCTCCTCCTCCTCTAAGCCTTCACTAAGACTAACCATGTTTGGTAACACCACCGTGTCTTAAGCCTCTTCTCTGAGTCTTAAGTCTTATTAACGAGTCTTTGGTCTTTTCTCCCTCTCCTCCTCCCTATCGTCCTCCTTCTATTCCTCCTCCCTCTCCTCCTTCCTCCTGTTTTTCCCCTTCTCTTCCTCCTTCTATCTATCTGGCTTTGGATCACCGTAAACTAACCTAACCTAACCTGAGCTAACCCTTTCAGATAGCGTTAGGGTATATAGTCATCAGGTGAAATAAGCTGTAGGGGTTCTATTCTTCAGGTGATCCCTCGCTTCCTCACACACACACACACACACACACACACACACACACACACACACACACAGGGGGTAAGGTCGTGAAGAAACACGCAATTGACCTCTTTAACTACTGCCAAGCTGTTGAGGGGTGTGTGAGGCATGACCCGGTGATGCTTAACCTCTGCTGAAACTGACAATTGTTCCTCTGATACAAAACTGTCTCGTTGGCCTCAGGGTACACAGGGGGGGTGGTGTGAAAGGGGATGGGTGAGGGTGAGAGTGGGGAAGGAGAGGGATGGGTGAGGTAAGGGGTGGAGTGGATGAGGTGGGTGTTGGAGGGGTGGGAGTGGGTGTGGGGTGGTGGTGATGAGGTTGGAGGAGGAGGAGGTGGAGGTGGGGGGATGAGGGTGGGTGGGGGAGGGTTGAGGGTGGGTAAGGGGAGGAGGGTTGATTGCTACAGATGATCCAGATGATTTAGTTAATTGAAATTGGGGTGAGGTAGTGAAGTCAAAGGTGCAGGTCGCCATTGTGGTTGTCTCTCTAAGTTGTGTGTGACTCGTGTGAAGTGGTGAGGAGAGAGAGAGAGAGAGAGAGAGAGAGAGAGAGTGTTGTGTGTGTTTAAGTGTCGTTAAGTGTTATATGGTGTAGGTTGTTAGATGTTGCGGTGTGTGTGTGTGTGTGTGTGTGTGTGTGTGTGTGTGTGTGTGTGTGTGTGTGTCTTACAGTACGTGTTATAGGTTACGGTCAGCACTGCTTTTTTTAAGATCCCTACACCACGTTGATAAGACTGATGCTGGGCTGACAGGAATCTTCGTCATTGTCAGCAGAGTCAGGTCACAGGGGATTTTGGCGGCGATTATAAGAATTTCTGGGCGTTCAATTCAGGTAAGATTCTGTGATCGTGGATGTTGTGTTGTGTTGCGTTGTGTTGTGTTGTGCTGTGTTAGATGACTGACTATATGGGTCTTGGCGTCAGTTATTTAAAGATCTTAAGATAAGTTTTTACCCCTAACTGGTGATGTGAGAACGTGTTTGTCTGTCTCACTTAGGTTAGGTTAGGTTAGGTTAGGTTAGGTTAGATTAGGTTAGGTTAGGTTAGGTTATATTAGGTAATGTTATGGTAGGTTTGTTAGGTTAGATTATATTAGACTCGATAAAATGCAGTTTATTAGAAAGGTAACGTACTGTATTTCTTAAGAAAACACGTAGCGATATTATTTTTTGACACTGAAATGGAAAATTTTAAATACTCGTAAACCAGAATACAATATATTCGCTGTTAAAATCTTCACAAAAACCCGACAATCAAAACATAACCATTATTGTTTTCATTTCTTAAGACTTATCACCGAGTATCTGGCAAACTGCTTCAGGTTCTATAGTCTTCAGTAAATCAGTTCCGTCGAGCAGATTAAGACGGCCTCCTGAATCCCCCAGACGATGCTGACGAAGTATAGTGATCCCCCCGCGAGGCAACAGTACAATAGGGGGCGGAGAGGGAAGGGGGTAAGGGTAGGAGGGGAAGGGGGTGGGAGAGGGGAGGGGGGGAGAGGGGAGGGGAGGGACGGGGAGGTAATCACATCCTTGAGACACCTACAAAGAATATACTGTGTCTATGTCCAATGAGCAGTTAAAGCCTAGAGATAGTTTGAACAGTTAGCCCTTGTTAGAAAGATGGATTCATAGACTGTTGCTCCCTCCTAGTTATTATTATTATTATTATTATTATTATTATTATTATTATTATAAGTACAAGGCTGGTGGTCTTGTTTTAGTGGGTTAAACTATTGTGGGTGTGATTGTACAGAGTTGGGTCAGTTGTTCGTTTAATTCCGCTTCAGTTACTTCACCAACACACACCACTATCAGCACCAATATACACCAACACCATTAACACAGTACCATCATCATCACCAACACATCACCATCACCATTTCACCACTATCACCACCACTATCACCAACACATCACCATCCCAACACCTCCCGGCAGCCCAGGTGAGGGAGGAAGGATCATCACATTTTCAACAAATCAGAGCAGCTCGACTGAGGGACAAGGCTGCAGGTAAGTACTTCACCATTAAGTCTTTGATGACCTTGCTAGCGGCGCCTCCGTCAGCACCCACCTCTGAGACTCTACCTTCACTGGTATATAAGAGAGAGAGTGAGAGGGTGAGGGTGTGCATTCACTCCCTCCCCTCACTCCTTGTAACACCCCCAACCATGGTTATACGCAGGGTAAGTAGTGTTATAGTGTAGAGATCAAGTGTTATTCATCTCCCCAAGTGTTGGTAGAGCAAGTGTGTGTCATGTAAGTTAACCAAGATGTATGAGTGTAATACCTCGTGGTCGTCAGGTACACACACCACAACTAACAGTGAACATGTGGTAATAGTCAGGTGATAAATACAGGAAGTTAATATACTCAGTAATAATGAAATAATAATTCAGTTTAGATATTAACCCCGTGTTGTGGTCAGTAATTGTTGTCCACTGCCTCAGCTGACACAACACACCTGCTGGAAGACTGGAACACAACCACACACTCACTCACACTCTGCGTTAGAGGGTCTTCCTCAAAAAACTTCGCAATACGTAAGTCAAGGATCCTTATAGAGAGCCTGGAGGATCCTTATAGAGAGCCTGGAGGATCTATTATTAGGATCCAGTGTTTCAAAGATCGTACATCACCTCCTCAACACTGGTAATAATAACAATAATCTTCCTTGAGTAGTGTAACTGTTATGATAAGGTTGTGTTACTGCTAGAGGTATTAATACGTTCATTAGTATCAGTTTCCACAACACAACTGTAACAACAATCTAGTGTTTGGTTGTGGTTTCACTGTGTTGTATTAACTCCGTTTTGTTTGGTGTCGTAACTTAAGTAATCATAAGGATTAACATTGTGATTCCAAACCTTGGCTTAACCTCTTGTGTTTGAAGTAATGTTACATGTGCTGTAATGTTGTTGGTGTCAGTAATAGATGAAGGTCGATCAAGACTAGATTAAAATCCTCTGTTAACATTATCAGCACACGTCACCATCATCACTATGTCACTATATAGAGCAGATAACTTCTCCCAAAAGTCCGCAGCTCAGTCAGTCAGTTAGGGTGGGGACTCAGAGGCGGATAACACACTTAAAACTAACTAACCACAGTGATGGAAGGTGACATCTCTTACGACAGATTCTGATGGCTGTGTGCCTGGTGAGTGTGGTGGTGGCCCGCCCGGACCGCCCAGCCCCCGCCGGCTACGGCTACCCCGTCCCCGACCATCCCCTCGCCTACACCCCGCCCCCTCCAGAATACAGGACCCCAGAACCATCCTACAGGGCCCCCGAACCTACATACGAGGCTCCTGCCCCATCCTACAGGGCCCCCGAACCTTCGTACGAGGCTCCTGCACCATCCTACAAGGCCCCTGAACCAACATACTCCGCCCCAGCTACATCCTACAAGGCCCCTGAACCAACATACTCCGCTCCAGCCACATCCTACAAGGCTCCTGAACCAACATACTCCGCCCCAGCCACATCCTACAAGGCCCTAGACCAACATACTCGCTCCTGCTACATCCTACAAGGCCCTGAACCAACATACTCCACGCCCAGCCTACATCCTACAAGGCCCTGAACCAGCATACTCACTCCAGCCCACATCCCCTACAGGCTCTGTTGCCTCGCTCCTGCTACATCCTACAAGGCCCTGAACCAACATACTCCGCTCTCTGCTACATCCTACAAAGGCCCCTGAACCAACATACTCACCCCAGCTACATCCTGCAAAGGCCCCTGAACCAACATACTCACGCCCCAGCTACATCCCCTCTACAAGAGCCCTGAACCAACATACTCACTCAGCCCCTCCTACAAGGCCCCTGAACCAACATACTCCGCCCCAGCTACATCCTACAAGGCCCCTGAACCAACATACTCCGCTCCAGCCACATCCTACAAGGCCCCTGAACCAACATACTCCGCCCCAGCCACATCCTACAAGGCCCCTGAACCAACATACTCCGCCCCAGCCACATCCTACAAGGCCCCTGAACCAACATACTCCGCCCCAGCCACATCCTACAAGGCCCCTGAACCAACATACTCCGCCCCAGCCACATCCTACAAGGCCCTGAACCCAGCATGCTCCGCCCCAGCCCACATCCTACAGGCCCTGAACCAGCCTCCGCCCAGCCACCCTGCAAGGCCCTGAACCAACTTGTCTCACGCCCAGCCACATCCTACAAGGCCCCTGAACCAACATACTCCGCCCCAGCCACAAGGCCCCTGAACCAACATACTCCGCCCCAGCCACATCCTACAAGGCCCCTGAACCAACATACTCCGCCCCAGCCACATCCTACAAGGCTCCTGAACCAACATACTCCGCTCCCGCCACATCCTACAAGGCCCCTGAACCAACATACTCCGCCCCAGCCACATCCTACAAGGCTCCTGAACCAACATACTCCGCCCCAGCCACATCCTACAAGGCTCCTGAACCAACATATGAGGTAGGTAGAAGTTGTGTATTTGAGGGGTCCATCTCCCCTGACAAGTTAAACACGTGTTAGAGTAGTTGTGTACTTAGATCACACAACTGAACCATAAGTAAAGCTCCATTATTTTCCTCTTTATGTGAGCTAGACTCTGGGTTATGTAGTGATCCAGACCGTGAAGAGTCGTCGTCAGATGAGGATTTGTCTGGATCAGGTTCCCAAGTAAACAAACTGTACATATGTGGTGATAAGTCATATTTCCCTTGTGTTTGTTTCTGGTGACACGAGTTTGACACATACAAGTACATGATGGTGTAGTTAAGATGCTAACTTAACATTACCTTCCAGAAGGGGATGCCGTTCGACTTCGCGTACAACGTTGTGGATCACTACAGCGGCAACGACTACGCCCACAACGCCATCTCTGACGGTAGTGTTGTGAACGGTGAGTACCGCGTCGTGCTGCCTGATGGCCGCACTCAGCTCGTCACCTACACGGCCGATGACTACAACGGCTACGTGGCCGAGGTCACGTACGAGGGTGAGGCCCAGTACCCAGAGCCCCAGTCCTATGGCACCCCTGCCCCAGCCCGGTCCTATGGCACCCCTGCCCCAGCCCGGTCCTATGGCACCCCTGCCCCAGCCCGGTCCTATGGCACCCCTGCCCCAGCCCGGTCCTATGGCACCTGCCCCCAGCCCAGTCTATGGCACCTGCCCAGCCTACAATCCCCATCCCCAACTTATGGCACCCCAGCCCGACATTCAAACCTCATTGCAACTTATAGCACCCCTGCCCCAACCTACGACACCTGCCCCCATCCTACAGCCCCCTGCCCCCATCCTGCAGCCCCCTGCCCCCATCCTACAGCCCTCCTGCCCCATCCTACAGCTCTCCTGCACCGACCTATGAAGCACCATCTTCTTTTTACGGAACTCCTAGCCACTAAATGCTCTTAAACAAACTGAATGCTAATTTATGTCGAATAGAGTTTACATTATGACGAATATATTTATTATACTTATGAAATAAAAATCAGATTATTCAAGTGTCTTTCAAAATCCTTCTCTGGAAACTTGTCTGGTGTGGATCACAGTGCTACGGTGTCTCCGAATTTCTGGAAGTAAAACAAGAATTCTAAAAGTGCAAAATCCGACCTCGACTCGATTAATGCAAGATGCTGTGGAGTTTGAAGCTTCGGGTAAATATTTGGGGTTGAGGACACAACACTCGTCTACTACCCTAAGAGTCACTGGTTCGCACCCACTGTGAGAGGTTACCTATTTTTATAGTTAAGGAAGTGAAGGTGATAAGAGTGCAAGGCCGGCAACACTTCTTTCATGTGTGCCGAGGCTTAGTGTTCAGTGTACTGTGTCTGCACCGCCTGCAACTATGGAACCACTTTTAACTTGTCTCTCGAGTGGACCAGAGATCGTCCACGTAGATCATCGTGTGTTTGTATTGAGAGGCTCGTGTAATGTGTTGAAACTTGGAGAATCTTCATGTAAAGTTTAGTAACTCCCACACACCCATCACCCAGTCCCCACACGGCCATCACCCAGTCCCCACACACCCATCACCCAGTCCCCACACACCCATCACCCAGTCCCCACACGGCCATCACCCAGTCCCCACACACCCATCACCCAGTCCCCACACACCCATCACCCAGTCCCCACACACCCATCACCCAGTCCCCACACACCCATCACCCAGTCCCCACACACCCACTATCACCAGTCCCCACCATAAAGCACTATATTATCTAAACAGAGGTCAACAAGAATCAGCCGAAGAAACATTAGCGCGGTTGGACGTGGTCTACCCTGAGCATATACAGTATATTCTCACACTATATCATACTGTTAGGGGAATACTTTTTACTAAGAGACCAAGTGATAATACTAATAAAACACATTGATGCTGTGAAATTCATTATTCTTGATGGTGATGGTTTGACCTTGTAGTAACCGAAAGTGACAGTACTAACGAGGTAATAATATGCACGGCAGCGGTGACTTGTGATGGGGAGAGAAAATTCCTCGAAAAATTTTCAATCAATCTGAACCAGTCACAAGAACAACAACAACAACAATAATATTCCTATAATGAATAAATTTCAAGGTCATAATAGAAAGTTATGTTACGATATTGTATGATAACTTATTGAACTAGACTAAGACATGGAAGGTGAAATCAAGATGAGGTGCTAATCTTCAGGTGCTCCTAGAATACCTGGCCAGAGACACCATTATATAGCTAATATTGAGTTATAGTTTTGATGGTAATTTCTGTTCCTATAACTTATATTTCATTGTCTATTATTATTATTATTATTATTATTATTATTATTATTATTATTATTATTATTATTATTATTATTATTATTATTATTGTTATTGGCCAGAACAGTAATTCCTGTATAACCTTGTGTATATGGTGGGGGTCGTGTGTGGGGGGACTATCTGGAGGGAGACACACATACATACACAAAGACTGGCCTGAGGGTGGGTGACCTGTCTATAGAGCTACACGACGCTTGTCACGTCAACACCAGCAGCTGCTCCTTTCATACTGCACTGTATTACCGAGAAGACCGGACAATTCGCCAACTGCACTGGCTAACCATTACCCCGGAATACGAGTCTCAAGTCGATTAACTTCCAGGTCCCCAATTACTGCTTGGTGGACAGTCAAGTGGCGTAAAGAAACTTGCCCTTAGTTTCACCCTGCCCGGATTCACTTGCTTGAGAGGCGAATATGTTGACCAGTACACCATAGGTTGCCACAAACACACACACACACACACACACACACACACACACACACACACACACACACACACGGTGACTCAGCCTCTACCCTTCCCCTATACTTAGCTAAAACTTGCCGTGAACTTTGACAGGGGAGAATATTGACACATTTCAGATTGCTAAAATTGTCTTTTTTACCCGATGACTTACGACCCAGAGGTTAGGTGAGACGTAACTCGGTACTGTGATCAACAGGAATTTGCTCTCAAGCATTTTGGTGAGAATATTGTTATTATAGATGATAGGAAAGTGTGCTTGTGTAGTGTGTGTGTGTGTTAACAGAGGGGGGAGCGGTGTAATAAACAAGAATGATGTTATGGTTTGACTCACACCATCATGGACAAGTAAAGAAAGAATTACAAGAGAGATCATTGGTGTTTGTTGATGTTGGACCAGTGTGATGGACGAGGTCTGTGTGTGCTCCTTAACTCGTCACGCTAAATACTGATGATCGCCAATTAGGCCCTAAAAAGCAACTAAAGTTTTTGCAAAAACGGAAAACTTTATTTTTATTGCTATAACTCAATAAGAATCAATTTGCATATAGTACAATTTGCTGTTTCTTTGTAGACGTCGTTTACTGTCATAAAGTAACATTTTACCTAAAGTAGAGGTTAGGTTAGGTTTTGCATGAAACAATTCATTAGTATGTATTTTATGATCTACGCAGTATATGGTGGTTTGTAGAGGTCAAAAGTTAAAAAATCCCGATATATATATATATATATATATATATATATATATATATATATATATATATATATATATATATATATATATATATATATATATATATATATACAGAGCTGCAGTGATCGCCCCGCGGGGCAGGTGTGTAATAGAGCGCCTCGGCCCGGGGCAGTGTTCTGTGGTCGCTTGTGGTGTGGTGGTGAAGATCACTCGGCGCTGTAATGGATGAACAGTAACAGTCGTACACCTCGTGAGGCAACACTCGCCATACGTCCTTCATAAAGTTTCATTATATCACTTTTGTGGCAAAGAAAATCTTAAGTGTATCTGTCTGTTTATATAATTGTTTGTTATGTCTCATTATCTATATTATTGTTTACTTATCTAAGTATTTGTTTACCTCCCCATGTCAACCAGTCTACAGTTTATATCAATATGCATGTCTGTCTGTGTCTGTCTACATCATTATCTTTACTGTATGTATCTGTAGTTAAGGTCATCAATACATACTGTGTGGTGGTGGTCCAGTGTGTGGTGATGGACCGGTGTGTGTGTGTGTGGTGGTGGTCCAGTGTGTGGTGATGGACCGGTGTGTGTGTGTATGTGTGTGGGTCAGTGTGGTGATGGACCGGTGTGTGTGTGTGTGTGTTGTCGGTCAATTAATGTCCCAGTGTTCAGACCGAGGTATTGTGTGTGTCGTAGTGGTGGTCCAGTATGTAGTGATGGACCGGTGTGTGTGTGTGGTGGTGGTCAGAGTGTGTGGTGGTGGACCACGGTGTGTGTGTGTCGGTCCTTACTAAAATTCAGGTAGAAAAAATAACCTGGAGGACAGATTGATGTATTTTCCTCTCGTCCACTCCCGGAAGTCAGCTAGCCACGACTCGACCTTTCTTTCCCACTCTCTCCCTCTCACTCTCAATCCCTCTCACTCCCTCATACACTCCCTCTTACTCCCAATCCCTCTCACTCCCTCTCACACTCCCACACTCCCTCTCTCTCTCATCGCCATTTAATACCTGCTTGGCCACATTAGACGTACCTGGCGCTGGCTGCTTCCCCTCACCTGTAATTAAGACGAGTTAAGATCATCATTATCTCAAGGCCGATAACATCACCTAGTGTGTGTGTGTGTGTGTGTGTGTGTGTTTTCATCATATAAATATCAGGGCTGTGGAGTCGGAGTCGGAGTCGGAGTCGGAGTCGAGGAGTCGGAGGAAATTTCGGCTTGTGGAGTCGGAGTCGGAGTCGGTAAAATTGTCCAGACTCCGACTCCGACTCCGACTGAAGCTATTCTGTTCCTAAGAACAAATATATGAACTCAGGCATATTCATTGCAGTGATTCCACTGATCCCACTAATTTTCTTAAATTATTAAAAGAATTTATTTCCATTTTATAAGCATTATTATGAATTTATTGTAGCAGGCACAGTATAGCACTATAATTTTGGACGATAGTCTCTTCTTTACCATTTGAAATTTTGAATTATATCAAATTTTGTTTCTTTGAAAACTGCACAGAAGCTCTCAGCTGCAAAATAATTAGCTACAACCTGTTTTGGGTGAGATTAAGGCAAATTTAATTTAATAACTTAATCATGTAAGGTTTATCCATTTTCCTTAATAAGGTATTCATTTCTTTAATGTACATAAATATATAACTTTACTTTAAAAGGAATTGTGGGATCATCATTTAGATCCACATCAGATTATGAGCTTAAACAAAATTCATATGCTGAGATCGAACTTTTAGATATACATGTAAATGGTGTTTTCTAGTTAATATCTTGAATTCTTAATAAATTTATTTTTCTTTTGATTGAAACTTTGAAAGTCAAGCCTATCATCTTTTTGTAGTTCTTAAATATCGTCCAGATCATTAATAAAGCTGTAGCAGTATAGCCTCGGTGTTTTACTTTTTACCTATGCAGGTTACAACATACAAATTACAATTAGGATGGTAGAAATAGTTGTTACAAATAGGCCAAGGAGTCGGAGTCGGAGTCGGAGTCGGAAGCATAAAAATTTGAGGAGTCGGAGTCGGAGTCGGAGTCGAAGGTTTTGTCTTCGACTCCACAGCCCTGCATATAATACACAACAACAAGGAGACATGAGCGCATTTGAAACGAATATATTTAAACAGGACACGAACACAGGACACGAACACAGGACACGAACACAGGACACGAACACGGGACACGAACACAGGACACGAACACAGGACACGAACACAGGACACGAACACAGGACACGAACACAGGACACGAACACAGGACACGAACACAGGACACGAACACAGGACACGAACACAGGACATCACAAAATCCAACAGCCATATTAAAGGGACACCAAATTGGGGCCGCCATTAGGACACACTCTGAGGACTAATTTCTGGACATGTCTGGAGGAACCTTGAATAGGATATGAAAATGGACACCCAAAGGGGAAGAGAGAGAGAAAGAAGGAATAAAGGAGGAGAGATGAAATAAGGACACTCAAAATAGTTGCCCGGGAGTGTAGTAGTGAAGATGGAGTCGTGAGGTGTGTGTGTGTGTGTGTGTGTGTGTGTGTGTGTGTGTGTGTGTGTGTGTGTGTGTGTGTGTGTTACATATAAAAATAACTTAACCAAATCCCACAGACACAAACACACATGTACATATACACATAATAACTCTTCCACACACACAAACATAGACACCAAAAATCTACACACACACACACACACACACACACACACACACACACACACACACACACACGCACCACATCATAGGCAGCTGTGACCTCGCCCTATATAAGTGTGGCACTTTCCAAAGATCGGGCAAGAGGTGCCTCACCCACCACCCAGTGCCATACACCAGTGCCATAACCAGGTGCCACTTACACACAGTGTCACCACTACCCAGGTGCCCACACCACTAGTGCCACTTACACCACCAGTGCCACTTACACACAGTGCCACTTACACCACACCCAGTGTCACTTACACCACCCAGCGCGCCACCCGCAGTGCCGCCGCACCACTCGGTGCCACCCGCACCACAGTGCCACCCACCACAGTGCCACTTGCACCACCAGTGCTTCCATAACACCACTCGGTGCCGCCCACCACCCAGTGCCATACACCGCAGTGCCACCCACCACAGTACCGCCACACCACCCAGTGCCACTTACACCACCCAGTGCCACCCACCGCAGTGCCACTAACACCACCCAGTGCCGCCACCACCAGTGCACTAACCGCAGTGCACTTACCACCCAGTGCCACTTACCACCCAGTCCACTTACACCACCCAGTGCCTAACCACCCAGTGCCACCACGCACCAGTACCGCCCACCACCGTTTTGCCACCACAGTGCCGCACCACGGTACTAACCACCCAGTGCCACTTACACCACCCAGTGCCACTTACACTAGACGTACAGCCACAGACAACAGCCACTACAGGGTATAGGTCTGTGTGTGTCTCTCTTACGTGTCAGAGAAAGTGAGAGTTAGGAAAAGTATTATACAGATGACTCTCTTTCTTTCTCTCCTACCGGGTAACATGTTGAGAGAGAGAGAGAGAGAGAGAGAGAGAGAGAGAGAGAGAGAGAGGGGTGTTGTAAGTCATTATTAGTGTTCCAGGTGGTGTATTATACAGTACAGTATGGTGATGTATTATACAGTGTGGTGGTGCATTATACAGTATGGTGGTGTAACACAGGTAGAGACAGGTGAACAAAACAAACTTCAAAGCCTCTCAGTCTTCGGGGAGTCGTCAGGTGTGTGTTTCATGGGACGTAAACAATGACTCGGGACTCAAACTCTCCTACTGTACCCTACAATACTGCCGACATATTTTTCCTAACCTAACCTAACCTAACCTGGGGTGATTTAGCTGTGTGGTGAGGCAGGTCTCTCTCTCTCTCTCTCTCTCTCTCTCTCTCTCTCTCTCTCTCTCTCTCTCTCTCTCTCTCTCTCTCTCGTGTTTTCTTTAGTGTCGCCGAGAAATTCCTGTCAACTTTTCAGACCTGGGTGACACCATTGGGGCGTTATGATATGTTTACTCCGAGATAAGAACGCCAAACTAGTGGTGTGGGTGACTTCTATCTCAGCAGGTCACGGCCCGGTGTGTCACAGGTTGTTAGGGATAATCTTTGTGATGCATTTGTTTGGCTTTAACTCAACACACGGCATAAAAGACGAGTTATTAATGGTTCGTGCTGTTAGCCTTTCACCTGAAGAATCTGCATCTCACCTAACCTAACCTAACCTAACCTAACACTAACCTAACTTAACACTAACCTAACCAACACTAACCTAACCAACACTAACCTAACCAACACTAACCTAACCTAACCTAACCTAACCTAACACTAACCTAACCTAACACTAACCTAACCAACACTAACCTAACCTAACCTTATCCCCCTATCCAAAAAATGTTACTTTGGTTTTTCTTAAATAAGTAAAAAAAAAGTATATATATAAAAATTATGGCTCATTAACGCTGATACCAAAATAAATAAATTAATTCTTCCCAACCATACGTTAACTTTTTCCTTAACTGTACAGGGTGAGAGAAAGTATATAACTGGCTCACTTAAAGCAGTATCTTACAAAATGGCGTCAGAGTAGCGCAGAGACGTGACCGAAATTGGATATTGGGTGTTGGAAGCTTTTAAGTATTTGGGTAGAGTCTTAGTGTATGTCTCACCCCATTTTGTTAGGTGCATTACCCCATCCATCCACACACTACTCCTTCCATCCACACTATTCCTTACATCCACACACACCCCATCTACCCACACACCACTCCTTACATCCACACACTACCCCATCCACCCACACACTACCCCATTCAACCACACACCACCATATCCACCTACCCCACGTTCCTCCATCCACCTCATTCAACCACACACCACCATATCCACCTACCCCACGTTCCTCTATCCACCTCATTCAACCACAATACAGAAGCTCCTATCCACACGATACGTCAGTGAAGGGTGGAGAGGAGAGGCGGGGCCGAGTGTTGTTGTATCACACACACACACACACACACACACACACACACACACACATGGCAATGTATGTCGTAATAATAATAATAATAATAATAATAATAATAATAATAACAATAATAATAATAATAATAATAATAATAATAATAATAATGGGTGCCCCTCGTGTACGGTCCAAGGGCCACCTAGGCGTGAATTTGTTTAAGGTGTAGAAGCTGTCGCCAACACAACAACCACACCCTGAGTTAACGAGCTGCATGACCCAGTGTCAGGGAATTAGTCCGAGGAGACCGGACAACTCGCCAACTGCACTGGTTAACCATTACCCCGGAACACATACACAGACATAGATCCACACACAAATACACATACAGACACACAATACCTCGCGTGCTGCACCAAAACAAACAACACTCCAGGAAGTACAACAAAACACCGTCTGTCTCCCACACGTGTCAGTTCATTTACTTACAAAAAAAGAAAAAAAATCGATATTGAATTTGTGTCAAGTTGAGGTGACGTGTTGTCGTGTGGCCTGATACTGTACTGTCGTGTTATACTGTGACCTTCACCTAGACTGACACACTGACACTGATGCTGACGTTTACGCTGACACTGATGTTGACGCTGACATTGACATTGAAGCTTACACTGAAGCTGACGCTGAAACTGGTACTGATATTGAAGCTGAAGCTGACAGTAACGCTGTCACAAATCAAACCGCAGAGATTGGCTGACATTCATAGACAGACACATGTACAGGTAATAAGATATGTGCAGAGACAGACAGACAGACAGATAGACAGACACACCCACAGGTACACACACACACACACACACACACACACACACCGACAGAAAGACTGATATCTATACAGACTGACAGATAAAGACAGAAACAGACACACACACACAAATATAAATAGACACAGACACACAGACACACAGACACACACAGACATCCTTATTGTAGAGCAGAAATTCTCGTGCCATAATTTCGTCTTTTACGTCTGACCACAAAAACTGGTTTACCTGCTAAAACGTAATTAAGGGTGTGGAGTCGAACCCATGTCTTGTAGGTGTTGCAACGAGTCTTACCCATGCGTGCCACCAACCCACTGTGTACCCTAACCTAGTAACCTACCCCAACGTACCATAGACCCATTGTAACCTAACCTAACCTAACCTACCCCAACGTACCATAGACCCATTGTAACCTAACCTAACCTACGCCAACGTACCATAGACCCATTGTAACCTAACCTAACCTACCCCAACGTACCATAGACCCATTGTAACCTAACCTAACCTACCCCAACGTACCATAGACCCATTGTAACCTAACCTAACCTACCCCAACGTACCATAGACCCATTGTAACCCTAACTGCTTTCTTAGCTTTGCAGACCCGACAGCAACTAACCTAACCAACCCCAGCATTACCACTGGGCCATTGCCTTCACCTAACCTAACATACTTTCCTCGACCTTCAGGTATAAGCATGTAGTTGTTTCACCTGTTGCGTGTATTGATGCCTTAAATACCTGGCCGGCACACACACACACACACACACACACACACACACACACACACACACACACACACACACACACACACACTAGGTCGTGCCAAAGAGAGTTTTAGTCATCAATATACCAAGGCTAAGGTGGAATTTGTTCCATGACTCGAAACACACATTTGTACATTGGCTCCATACATGCAAGTGTTGTTCCATTATGTACAGAAGTTGTTCCATGATCAACAACAATTATATTTCCCTATAAAACTCTTTTGTTCCAAGAGCCAAAAGTAATGATTTATCCCACGTTCTGGTATAATTGTTCCATTCCACCAGTTATTCTCTTCTTAGATATAATTATCGAACCTAACTACAAGGGGGTAATTAACACAGGTAAACAACTACAAGGGGGGTAATTAAGACAGGTAAACAAGACGGTGAGAGAGACAGTACAGAGGCCTCACGTACCACACACTCTAACTGGAGGGGTTTACAAGCTAATATGTTGGTCTGTTTTAAAAGTGTGTGTGTGTGTGTGTGTGTGTGTGTGTGCTGGTTGGGGGCTAAGAGTAGGTGCTGTTGATGAAAGGTGATGATGATGATGGTGATGATGATGATGGTGATGATGGTGGTGGTGTGGTGGTGATACTGGTGATAGTGGTGGCCAAAATAGTAAACATTATCCATTTACAACCAGAGGATCAAATAACAATAATAACAAGTATAACATAGATCATTTATCACCACATTACACCATACAGGCCAGGATCACTGCACCATGGATCACCACATTACACCATACAGGCCAGGATCACGGCACCATGGATCACCACATTACACCATACAGGCCAGGATCACGGCACCATGGATCACCACATTACACCATACAGGCCAGAATCACGGCACCATGGATCACCACATTACCATACAGGCCCCAGGAATCACGGCACCATGGATCGCCACACTACACCGCCCAGACCAGGATCACGGCACCGCCGGATTACCACACTACAACATACCAGACCAGGATCACGGCACCATGGATCCACACATTACACCATACAGGCCAGGATCACTGCACCATGGATCACCACATTACACCATACAGGCCAGGATCACGGCACCATGGATCACCACATTACACCATACAGGCCAGGATCACGGCACCATGGATCACCACATTACACCATACAGGCCAGGATCACGGCACCATGGATCACCACACTACACCATACAGACCAGGATCACGGCACCATGGATTGCACTACACACCATACAGGCCAGGATCGGCACCATGGTTACCACACTACACCGCCTGAGCCAGGATCCGGCACCATGGATCACCACACTACACCGCCACGAACCGGGATCACGCTGTGGATCACCACACTACACTATACAAAGACCGGGTTTAAGCACCATGGATCGCCACTACACCATGCAGGCCAGGATCACGGCACCGCCGGATCGCCACACTACACCGCGTGGGAATCACGGCACCATGGATTCTCACACTACACCATACAGCCCAGGATCACGGCACCATGGATCACCACATTACACCATACAGGCCAGGATCACTGCACCATGGATCACCACATTACACCATACAGGCCAGGATCACGGCACCATGGATTACCACACTACACCATACAGACCAGGATTACGGCACCATGGATCACCACATTACACCATACAGGCCAGGATCACGGCACCATGGATCACCACAGTACACCATACAGACCAGGATTACGGCACCATGGATCAGTCACACCACCAAGGTTACCGAGAAGACCATTTTAGATCACAGACCGACCACAAGAGGGCGTGACAGCTCGTTATCGGCCACCTCTCTCTCTCTCTCAGTGTGTGTGTGTGTGTGTGTGTCGCCCTCGGAGTAACAATATAATTCTTGGGGTGACGTAGGAGACTAATGACGCCTTTACCAATGTTGAAGCTATGAACTACGTTTGTAACCTAACCAAACCTAATCTAACCAAACCTAACCTAACCAAACCTAACCAAACCTAACCAAACCTAACCTAACCTAACCTAACCAAACCAAACCTAACCAAACCAAACCTAACCAAACCAAACCTAACCTAACCAAACCTAATCTAACCAAACCTAACTTAAGACGTTTAAATATAAAGAAAATATATGTGGCCGTCCCGTGGTAGAAGAAGCTGTGAGGCCAACCATCTTAGAGACAACTTTGGTCAGGGTATTGAGGGGATGTAACGCCTCTTGTTTACATTTTTATCCTGGTTAATATTTGTGTGTGTAAATATGTCTCAGTAATCAATTATTTATCTACTTATATAATTGTGGAGATTAAGGAAACATATATACAGCAACATACAAAAAAAAAGGTAACTACCCATGATTAAAAATTATATTACTGTTCCTATTTTTATTAGTTCATATACAAGTGTTTTCTTGAGTCAGGTAAAGTGAGGAGTTCCGCGAGGCTCAGGTGTACCAGGGCTTAGTTCATGACGTCACACTTTTTAACCAATCACCCGTCAACGTCACCAACTTTTTAACCAATCACCCGTTAACGTCACCAATACTGTCAATCCGTCCACAGAGAATCGTATCTGCTGCTGTCAGTCATTTAGTATCGCAAGTACAGATTCAGACAAAAATGGTCTTTATTAACAGATCCTAAATGATACGAAACAACCTAAAATAAATATTCTCACCAAGGAACTCACCACCAGGTAACACAGACCAGGTGAGGAAGGCAGGTATAAACACATGACCTCACATGTCACTAATGAGAAGTGTGACCCTCAGCGGGCGTGGTCACCGTGCACAAGTGGGGCTATATAAGACACGCTCACTCTCACTTCTTCAGCAGACAGTCATGAACTCTAAGGTGAGCACTACTGAACACTCTCACATAACATTATATATATAGTGTATTAGTGAACACTTTGGCTGAACATGTTGTAACTTTCTTCCTGCAGGTATACGTCATCTGGTGTCTAGTGGGTGTGGTGGTGGCCCACCCGGACCGTCCAACCCCCGCTGGCTACGGCTACTCCGCCCCCGACCATCCCCTCACCTACACCCCGCCCCCTCCAGCTTACAAGGCCCCAGAACCTACCTATGAGGCCCCTACTCCATCCTACAGGGCCCCTGCACCATCCTACAAGGCCCCAGAACCTACCTATGAGGCCCCTTCACCATCCTACAAAGCCCCAGAACCTACCTATAAGGCCCCTGCACCATCCTACAAGGCCCCTACTCCATCATACAGGGCCCCTGCACCATCCTACAAGGCCCCAGAACCTACCTATAGGGCCTGCGCCATCACAAAACTCTACACCCATCCTACAAGGCCCCTACTCCATCTACAAGGCCCCAGAACCTACCTACTCAGGCCCCTGCCATCCTACAAAGCTCCTGCACCATCCTACAAGGCCCCTGCACCATCCTACAAGGCCCCTACTCCATCCTACAAAGCTCCTGCACCATCCTACAAGGCTCCTGCACCGTCCTACGAAGCTCCGTCATACGAAGTAAGTAAATACCTTTCCATACATTCATAAAAGGTGAAGTAAATGTTTAGGTTAGTCACCAAACGTGAGCCTTATGTGATCATCTTCAACTGTATGATGGTGTAGTTAAGATGCTAACTTAACATTACCTTCCAGAAGGGGATGCCGTTCGACTTCGTGTACAACGTTGTGGATCACTACAGCGGCAACGACTACGCCCACAACGCCATCTCTGACGGTAGTGTTGTGAACGGTGAGTACCGCGTCGTGCTGCCTGATGGCCGCACTCAGCTCGTCACCTACACGGCCGATGACTACAACGGCTACGTGGCCGAGGTCACGTACGAGGGTGAGGCCCAGTACCCAGAGCCCCAGTCCTATGGCACCCCTGCCCCAGCCCGGTCCTATGGCACCCCTGCCCCAGCCCGGTCCTATGGCACCCTTGCCCCAGCCCGGTCCTATGGCACCCCTGCCCCAGCCCGGTCCTATGGCACCCCTGCCCCAGCCCGGTCCTATGGCACTCCTGCCCCAGCCCGGTCCTATGGCACCCCTGCCCCAGCCTACTCTGCCCAACACGGTCCTATGGCACCCCTGCCCCAGCCCGGTCCTATGGCACCCCTGCCCCAGCCCGGTCTATGGCACCCCTGCCCCAGCCCGGTCCTGGCACCTGCCCCAGCCAGTCCTATGGCACCCCTGCCCCAGCCCGGTCCTGGCACTCCTGCCCCAGCCGGTCCTATAGCACCTGCCCCAGCGGTCTATAGCACCCCTGCCCCAGCCTACTCTGCCCCAACACGGTCCTATGGCACTCCTGCGCCCACTTATGGCACCCCTTCGCCCACTTATGGCACCCCTGCCCAGACTTATGGCACCCCTGCCCAGACTTATGAGAAACCGTCGTCACTTTATGGCGCACCAAGCCACTAACTGGGAGGCCATAAGGACCTGTACGTGTACTGTAATTTATTAGTTATAATCTGCTAGAATATATGAATCAACTTCCAGTGTTGTATATTTTGACATCACCTCCTGACTGATGGACGATCTTGGTCATGAGAAGTTATCGTCTGTTTCTCTCTCCAACTTTATCTTTCGTGCTGGTCACATCTGAGTCTTCTTTCTCTTAATGTTTCTTGTTACTTTGTTCGTGTGGGACTTTTAATAAAACTTTACTCAGCCTTAAAGAAGAATTTGTTTTCGAAAGTCACTCGAAAAATATTACATATCAACTATGGTAGACTGTGGCGCGCGGAGCAACACAATACAAGAGTGTAAGATCCTCCTCACGCACACTGCAACACACACAACACTTACTGAAACACTGTGGGTGATGTATCTCTGAAGTAACGTAATTGAATATGTAATTATATATACACGGAACCTCTAATGTACACAGGTATATCAGTGTAAACAATTTTCGCCGGGATTCGAACACATGAGGAGGCCCACATTGGTTTACCTGTGCACATTACAGAAGGAGAAAAATAGTCGATTTAAGAAGAAAAGAATTAAACAGTTTAGCTACAACGAAGATATAACTACAACATTGAAGGAGCTGCTGCAATTATTTTGGAGGTCACAAACAAAACCCTTGAACCGAGTTACCTGGTGGGGAGGGGTGGACCCGAGTTACCTGGTGGGGAGGGGTGGACCCGAGTTACCTGGTGGGGAGTGGTGGACCCGAGTTACCTGGTGGGGAGGGGTGGACCCGAGTTGCCTGGTGGGGAGGGTGGACCCGAGATTACCTGGTGGGAGTGGTGGACCCGGGATTGCACCTGGTGGGGAGGGGTGGACCCGAGCCACACCTGGTGGGGGAGGGGTGGACTGTACACCTGGTGGGGGAGGGGTGGACCAGGGATTACCTGGTGGGGAGGGGTGGACCAGATTACCTGGTGGGGAGGGGTGGACCCAGCGAGACCTGGTGGGGAGTGGTGGACGAGTTACCTGGTGGGGAGTGGTGGACCCGAGTTACCTGGTGGGGGCTGGACCCGGGGCCACCTGGTGGGAGGGGTGGACCCGGGGATTACCTGGGGTGGGGGAGGGCCGGACCCGAGATTACCTGGTGGGGGAGGGTGGACCCGAGTTACCTGGTGGGGGAGTGGTGGACCCGGGATTACCTGGTGGGGGAGTGGTGGACCCGAGTTACCTGGTGGGGAGTGGTGGACCCGGGGACTACCTGGTGAAGTGGTGGACCCGAGTTACCTGGTGGGGAGAGGGGTGGACCCGAGGATTACCTGGTGAAGTGGTGGACCCAGAAGTTACAATTGGGGAGTGGTGGACCCGAGTTACCTGGTGGGGAGTGGTGGACCCGAGTTACCTGGTGGGGAGTGGTGGACCCGAGTTACCTGGTGGGGAGGGGTGGACCCGAGTTACCTGGTGGGGAGGGGTGCACCTGGTGATGGGGGAGAGACCACATGTGAAAGACGATCAGGTGAGGACTGAGGAGGTTCTGAAGGTTAGGTTAGGTTATGTGATGATGTTTACTGATTGATCCAGAATAATGACTTACAACATCAGAAGGTCGACGACGGTTTTGGTGTGTTGGAGACAGAAGGGTGTACAGATCCTGGAGACGGCGGTGGGTAGGAGACCATGCAGGCTGGCTGAGAGTTACTCCTCCAGCCTGAACACGAGGCAGGTGGTGGGTAGGAGACCATGCAGGCTGGCTGAGAGTTACTCCTCCAGCCTGTACACGAGGCAGGTGGCGGGTAGGAGACCATGCAGGCTGGCTGAGAGTTACTCCTCCAGCCTGAACACGAGGCAGGTGGTGGGTAGGAGACCATGCACGCTGGCTGAGAGTTACTCCTCCAGCCTGTACACGAGGCAGGTGGTGGGTAGGAGACCATGCAGGCTGGCTGAGAGTTACTCCTCCAGCCTGAACATGAGGCAGGTGGTGGGTAGGAGCAGACCTTGGTGGCTGGTTGAGTTACTCCTCCAGCCTGAAATGAGGCAGGTGGTGGGTAGGAGACCATGCAGGTTTAGCTGGAGAGTTACTCCCTCCAGCCTGAACACGAGGCAGGTGGTGGGGTAGGAGACCATGCAGGCTGGCTGAGAGTTACTCCCAGCCTGTACACGAGGCAGGTGGTGGTAGGAGACCATGCAGGCTGGCTGAGAGTTACTCCTCCAGCCTGAACACGAGGCAGGTGGGTGGGTAGGAGACCATGCAGGCTGGCTGAGAGTTACTCCTCCAGCCTGAACACGAGGCAGGTGGTGGGTAGGAGACCATGCAGGCTGGCTGAGAGTTACTCCTCCAGCCTGAACACGAGGCAGGTGGTGGGTAGGAGACCATGCAGGCTGGCTGAGAGTTACTCCTCCAGCCTGAACACGAGGCAGGTGGTGGGTAGGAGACCATGCAGGCTGGCTGAGAGTTACTCCTCCAGCCTGAACACGAGGCAGGTGGTGGGTAGGAGACCATGCAGGCTGGCTGAGAGTTACTCCTCCAGCCTGAACACGAGGCAGGTTGTAAGGCAAATGGATCTAAAATAATCCCAACTTGATTTTGGAATTTTAACTTTAAGGGATAACAACTTTATTATTATTAAACTCTTCATCACAAGAACTAAATAAGTCATTGTTTTGAATAAATAGATAAATAAATGAGTTAATAAAGAGATAAATGAAATAAAGACGTCGACCTGACCATATGACTAGGTGCTGTACATCAAGGTCACGGCAACTATTTTCTGTGTGGTGGGGGGGTCATCACTGTGTACATGTAACCAATACAATATATTTTTCTGTCCTCTGGCGTCACTCTACTCCACACTTTCACGTATAGAAATCAATACAATTGTGGTTATGAAGCGATTCAAGGTTTCAGAAGTAATGTGTGATAATAATAATAATAATTAACGGTTTACTGAAATAATTCTGCAGCCCGAAGGCTGAAAATATACATTGGACATAAATGACTTATTACATACATTGGTGGTTTAACAAAAGCCTTCATTAGAGAAAGGTAAAGGAACATACAGTGAACATACAGATTAATGTAGGTGTTGAACAGCAAACTCGTAGTGTAGTAACTCCCTCCCAGATGGTGTTAGGAGGAACTCACGTGGTGTAGTAGTTCCTCAGATGGTGTTATGAGGGACCTGGCGTGGTGTAGTAATTCCCTCGCAGATGGTGTTATGAGGAGCCTCACGTGATGTAGTAATTACCTCACAGATGGTGTTATGAGGGACCACGTGGTGTAGTAATTCCCTCACAGATGGTGTTATGAGGGGCCTCACGTGGTGTAGTAGTTCCCTCAGATGGTGTTATGAGGGACCTGACGTGGTGTAGTAATTCCCGCACAGATGGTGTTATGAGGGACCACGTGGTGTAGTAATTCCCTCACAGATGGTGTTATGAGGGACCTCACGTGGTGTAGTAATTACCTCACAGATGGTGCGAGAGGGCCCCACGTGGTGTGCAGTAATTTCACAGATGGTGCTAAGAGGGACCCTACGTGGTGTGCAATTCCTCACAGATGGTGTTATGAGGGGCCTCACGTGGTGTAGTAATTCCCTCACAGATGGTGTTATGAGGGACCTCACGTGGTGTAGTAATTCCCTCACAGATGGTGTTATGAGGGGCCTCACGTGGTGTAGTAATTCCCTCACAGATGGTGTTATAAGGGACCTCACGTGGTGTGTGTGTGTGTGTATAAACTTGTAGTTTATGAGGTTTTTCTGAGAGTATTATGTGGCGCCATTTTGTAATTATTATCCAAACATTAAACAACGAACCAGAAATCTTCCCCGACTGATAATCACAACGCTGGTTGTGGGAACTGATTAGGTTCGTCTGGGTTATGTTATGATATGATGGGTTCGGTTAGGTTAAGTTAGGTGGGGTTGGTTTGGGTTAGGTTAGGTTCGAGAGTTCAATGGCAGTTATCGGTCGAGAAAGCGATTCCTAGAGTGATCTATCAATCTATCTATCCATTTCAAAGGTTGGTGACTTGTGTCTACGCCTTTAACACCTTTGTTGTTCAGCTGTCATAGCATCAGGGACTCAAGATACTCTGTATATTGTTCACCATAAATTAGGTTATTCAAAAACTGATTAAATTTACCTGGAGGAGACGTGGTGCTTCGAGTGCGGTGATCACAGAAGAAAATTATGTTTCAAGGTAATTGTGTTGGAGTGGCTGTGTGCTGAGTGTGTGAGGGACGTTAACGAGTGTGTTGTGAGTGTGTGAGGGATGTTAACGAGTGTGTTGTGAGTGTGTGAGGGACGTTAACGAGTGTGTTGTGAGTGTGTGAGGGACGTTAACGAGTGTGTTGTGAGTGTGTGAGGGATGTTAACGAGTGTGTTGTGAGTGTGTGAGGGACGTTAACGAGTGTGTTGTGAGGTGAAGGACGTTAACGAGTGTAAGCTAGAGTGTGTGAGGGACGTTAACGAGTGTGAAGGACGTTAGCGAGTGTGTATGACGTTAACGAGCGTGTGAAGGACGTTAGCGAGTGTGTGTGAAGGACGTTAGCGGGAGTGTGTGAAGGACGTTAGCGAGTGTGTAAAGGACGTTGAAGGAGTGTGTGAAGGACGTTAGCGAGTGTGTGAAGGACGTTAGCGAGTGTGTGAAGGACGTTAAGGAGTGTGAAGGACGTTCAAGAGTGTGTGAAGGACGTTAATGAGTGTGTGAAGGACGCGAAGGAGTGCGGTGAAGGACGTTAGCGAGTGTGAAGGACGTTAGCGAGTGTGAAGGACATTACGAGTGTGTGAAGGGACGTTAGCGAGTGTGAAGGACGTTAACGAGTGTGTGGAAGGACGTTGAAGGAGTGTGTGAAGGACGTTAGCGAGTGTGTGGAAGGACGTTAGCGAGTGTGTGAAGGACGTTAACGAGTGTGTGAAGGACGTTAGCGAGTGTGTGAAGGGACGTTAGCGAGTGTGTGAAGGACGTTAACGAGTGTGTGAAGGACGTTAGCGAGTGTGTGAAGGACGTTAACGAGTGTGTGAAGGACGTTAGCGAGTGTGAAGGACGTTAGCGAGTGTATGAAGGACGTTAGCGAGTGTGTGAAGGACGTTAGCGAGTGTGAGGGACGTTAACGAGTGTGTGAAGGACGTTAACGAGTGTGTATGACGTGTTAGCGAGTGTGTGAAGGACGTTAGCGAGTGTGTGAAGGACGTTAGCGAGTGTGAATAGACGTTAGCGAGGGTGGAGGGACGTTAACGAGTGTGTGAAGGACGTTAACGAGGCGTGTGAAGGACGTTAGCGAGTGTGTGAAGGACGTTAACGAGTGTGTGAAGGACGTTAGCGAGTGTGTGAGGGACGTTAACGAGTGTGTGAAGGACGTTAGCGAGTGTGTGAAGGACGTTAACGAGTGTGTGAAGGACGTTAACGAGTGTGTGAAGGGGTTGAAATCATCTCTAAAGGTCAGCAATAATTTTCCTCTGACCAAGAAAGTCCACAACATTTGTTTCTTGACGAACTTATGATGAAGAAAATATGTAAGATAATCACCCTACCTAACCTAACCCTAACCTAACCTAACCCTAACCTAACCCTAACCTAACTCGACTGTGAAGGACTTGTTACCACAGAGTCGCGCCACAGTGCCTGTATGTGATGATGTAGATATAACTGCGGTATGCTTCACACACTCCCTGGTGCTAACTGATGGTAATCCTCGCGTTGTGGTTCACCATTTATTCTACCGTGTTTGCCACCCACAAGACATAATTAAATATTCATAAACCATTGTCGAGGTAAGAGTTACATAGTGATAAAATCAGCGCCTTTTAGTCATTACAACTGATATAGCTTATGTGTCATCCACCGTTAACTAATATCAAACAATGTAACACTATGGTACATTGTTTCATGTATCAAGTAAATCATTAGTCGGCAAGATAAAACATAACGCTATTAATATTTTGGTCACTCCATGAAGGTGATAATGTGTTTCTGGTGAGACTTGCATCATCCTAACAACAAGTTTCATCATGTTGACAAGTATGAACATCTTGACCGAGGTAGACGCCTTCTTGTCACATACAGGAGTCTCATAATAATGGTTGCCCCTCGTGTACGGTCCAAGGGCCACCTAGGCGGGAATTTTGTTAAGGTATAGAAGCTGTCGCCAACACAACAACCAAACCCTAAGTTAACGAGCTGCATGACCCAGTGTCAAGGAATAGTCCGAGAAGACCGGACAACTCGCCAACTGCACTGGCTAACCATTACCCCGGAACACGATCCGCAGAGATTAACATCCAGGTTCCCAATTACTGCTGGGTAGACAGAGGCAAATGGCGTAAAGAAACTCGCCCATAGTTTGACCCTGCCCGGGGATCGAACCCTGCCAAGGAACATAAACTTTGGTCGTAACAGCAATATCTGGACGAAACTCACCACCAGGTAACACAGACCAGGTGAGGAAGGCAGGTATAAACACATGACCTCACATGTCACTAATGAGAAGTGTGACCCTCAGCGGGCGTGGTCACCATGCACAAGTGGGGCTATATAAGACACGCTCGCTCTCACTTCTTCAGCAGACAGTCATGAACTCTAAGGTGAGCACTACTGAACACTCTCACATAACATTATATATATAGTGTATTAGTGAACACTTTGGCTGAACATGTTGTAACTTTCTTCCTGCAGGTATACGTCATCTGGTGTCTAGTGGGTGTGGTGGTGGCCCACCCGGACCGTCCAACCCCCGCTGGCTACGGCTACTCCGCCCCCGACCATCCCCTCACCTACACCCCGCCCCCTTCAGCTTACAAGGCCCCAGAACCTACCTATGAGGCCCCTTCACCATCCTACAGGGCCCCTGCACCATCCTACAAGGCCCCAGAACCTACCTATGAGGCCCCTTCACCATCCTACAAGGCCCCAGAACCTACCTATAAGGCCCCTGCACCATCCTACAAGGCCCCAGAACCTACCTATGAGGCCCCTGCGCCATCCTACAAAGCTCCTGCACCATCCTACAAGGCCCCTGCACCATCCTACAAGGCTCCTGCACCATCCTACAAGGCCCCTACTCCATCCTACAAAGCTCCTGCACCATCCTACAAGGCTCCTGCACCGTCCTACGAAGCTCCGTCATACGAAGTAAGTAAATACCTTTCCATACATTCATAAAAGGTGAAGTAAATGTTTAGGTTAGTCACCAAACGTGAGCCTTATGTGATCATCTTCAACTGTATGATGGTGTAGTTAAGATGCTAACTTAACATTACCTTCCAGAAGGGGATGCCGTTCGACTTCGTGTACAACGTTGTTGATCACTACAGCGGCAACGACTACGCCCACAACGCCATCTCTGACGGTAGTGTTGTGAACGGTGAGTACCGCGTCGTGCTGCCTGATGGCCGCACTCAGCTCGTCACCTACACGGCCGATGACTACAACGGCTACGTGGCCGAGGTCACGTACGAGGGTGAGGCCCAGTACCCAGAGCCCCAGTCCTATGGCACCCCTGCCCCAGCCCGGTCCTATGGCACCCCTGCCCCAGCCCGGTCCTATGGCACCCCTGCCCCAGCCCGGTCCTATGGCACCCCTGCCCCAGCCCGGTCCTATGGCACCCCTGCCCCAGCCCGGTCCTATGGCCTCCTATGGCACCCCTGCCCCAGCCCGGTCCTATGGCACCCCTGCCCCAGCCCGGTCCTATGGCACCCCTGCCCCAGCCCGGTCCTATGGCACCCCTGCCCCAGCCCGGTCCTATGGCACCCCTGCCCAGACTTATGAGAAACCGTCGTCACTTTATGGCGCACCAAGCCACTAACTGGGAGGCTATAAGGACCTGTACGTGTACTGTAATTTATTAGTTATAATCTGCTAGAATATATGAATCACCTTCCAGTGTTGTATATTTTGACATCACCTCCTGACTGATGGACGATCTTGGTCTTGAGGAGTTATCGTCTGTTTCTCTCTCCAACTTTATCCTAATTTTTAATTTTTCGGCACTACAGACGTAAATATGTCCGTAGTCATCCTACATGTTCACATTATAACTGTGTTCGATACAATTACGCTTTCATTACAGTATCATAGGTATCTTGGATTATCACTTAATGTTGTTATATATATTCTTGATGCTCTATACACGTGCTATTGTGAATTTTTTATTTCATTTCGCAATTTGCCGTCATTTGAAAATGTATATGCTACCCCTGTGAGTGAAGTCATCTCCATTTTCTGTGAACACTTACAATACCATGGTACCATAACTATTCTAACTTTACGGCATCAACGCTCCTTCATCATAGAAAACATGCAGCCGACAAGAGAGTAATCTTGGTTTTTAGTGTATACGTTTTTATTCTTAGAATCCAATTGAATAAATAGATGGTATACCCTATGTATGGTCCAATATTCATACAAGTTTTAGGTGTGTTCTGTCTTGATGCCCAGTAAATGAGTATACAGTACTTCAAAATATGATGGTTGAAAAATAGCTGACCAATAATATGACCAACCATTCATCTGTGACGAATGAAAACGAATAGACGACAAGCCAATGGTGGTTGAGACATCTGCAGGGGAGCTTGTTCACTACTAGGGATTGTGGGGTATGGGTTACGTGGGTTCACACTCAGGATGGGATGGAAAAAGGAAACTCACAATGTGCTCTCTGTATACATGTTGTATTGGATGTACAATGCAGCTTGGTGCTGGGAAGGCAGCATGGTTACAAGCGTGATGTAGAGAGAGCTGGTTGGTGAGGGTGCTCAGAGGAGGACCAGCCTGTGGGTCGCCATGCTAGCCAGCGGGAGCGAGGACCACCAGGCAGGCAGAGGAGGAGGAGGTGTTGCTGGCTGGTTGGTGTAGGTAGTAAGAGACAGGTCACCGCGAGGTCAGGTCTTAAATAGCGAGGGGGTAGGCGTGGCTTAGTAGTTGACCCCCGCTCCGTGGTGTATGGCGGCGCTGGTTGACCTAGACCACGAGGCATACACAGGGGAATTCGTGGGGTCGGCTAGGCAGCGACAAACAGCGTTTGTAGGGGAGAAATCCACTACAATACTCCCTCCTTCCCTCCAGGTGGTGTAGGAGACTTGTTGTCTGCAGGGTTGCATAGCACATGTGAGGCAGAACGGGCGGTGTATGCCTCATGTGAGACAACGGCGATGGCGTGGATGAGCTGGTCGCTAGAGACAACTATCTAAATACACAATATCTGTGGGAGTAGAGAGGGAGAAAAAGGGTGTGTGGAGGCGATGAATGTTGTGCTTCCCTCACGGCAGGTACAGAATCGTCTGATGCGCCTGCTGGGGTGTGTGGGCCTGGGTCAGGAGCAAGGGCTGCGTCAGCAGAAGCGGATGAGGGCTCGTGACAGCAGCTGGGTCCACGACAGTAGCAGGGTGCAGGACAGTAGCAGGGAGTACCTGAGGGAGAAAAGAGGGGTGTGTGGGTCCGCACTCAGAAGCAGGGGCCGCGTCAGAAGCGGCAGGGGGTACTGCTGGGCCGGGGCGGTGTCTGAGGCAGGACGGGTGTGTTGGGGTCGGTAGGACGTGGTGCTTGGGGCAGGAATAGGAGCGGCTGTCTGCTTAGAGTAGCAGAGCTGCTCTAGGGTGTCTAACCTGCGATGTAGAGACAGTAGTTGTAGAGCCGATGAGAGCTGCTTCTGGGTGGATAAGCCGGTCTTCCATGTTGCTTGAAGACTGGGAGAGTGATCGGTTTCTCCTCCATCCTGTGTGAGTGGTCACTCCGGGGGTCACCATTTGTGGGGTATGGGTTACGTGGGTTCACACTCAGGATGGGATGGAGAAAGGAAACTCACAATGTGCTCTCTGTATACATGTTGTATTGGATGCACAATGCAGCTTGGTGCTGGGAAGGCAGCATGGTTACAAGCGTGATGTAGAGAGAGCTGGTTGGTGAGGGTGCTCAGAGGAGGACCAGCCTGTGGGTCGCCATGCTCGCCAGAGGGAGCGAGGAACGCCAGGCAGGTGGAGGAGAAGGAGGTGTTGCTGGCTGGTTGGTGTAGGTAGTAAGAGACAGGTCACCGCGAGGTCAGGTCTTAAATAGCGAGGGGGTAGGCGTGGCTTAGTAGTTGACCCCCGCTCCGTGGTGTATGGCGGCGCTGGTTGACCTAGACCACGAGGCATACACAGGGGAATTCGTGGGGTCGGCTATGCAGCAACAAACAGCGTTTGTAGGGGAGAAATCCACTACAGGATCAACTGGGAGTCAGTAGAAGAAATACAGTAGTTATCTTGTTTACACAAAGAAACCTCCCAGTGTCCATATTCAAACTTCTCAGTAGTTTCTCAGCTTTTGTGGTATACGGACCTTATCCTTGGACTTTGTGCTCCCCACTTGCCCCCCCCCCCAGTGTAAGTGTTTTAGGGACTATTGGCCGTTAATAGATTCGTGATCAATTACTGGAGGCAGTAATAATTGTAACTAAATATAACTTAATAAAATAAGTCTCCTATCCCGTACCTCATACCGCCAACCTCACCACTCTTGCATGTGAGATTCCTTTAGGGATACCTTTGCTTTCAAATGCAAAACAATAATATGATACTTAAAATTGTATATACAGGTAGGAAATTTATCCTTAAAATATAAAAACTAGTGTTAATTTGGGATATTTCTGTTAGTTTAGTCTGTTTCTGAAATTCAGGACCAAGCTTTCTTCCCTCTTGCTGACCAGGAACGAGTTCACAAGTGTTTTTCTCATGTTTATACATAACACAATACAAAGGAAGAGTTGTAAGTGCTAACAATTCATCGTCGGTCTTCAAAGGCATCCATTCATCTTGTTATTGTTTTTGTTTGGCTCCAGCTAAAGTCCTTGAATAGGAAGTAGTGACGACCTGAATTTGACGGTAACTTGTTACTGAGCCGCCCGCAGAGCAGTGTAGTTCCTTGACGATGTATATATATAAATCATAAAATCTCATTTCACCGGGTCAACGAGGGTGGGGGGGGGGGGGTGTTTCAGGTCAAACCTAAAATTTCTTGATGTGACTAGTGGACCATCATTTGAACAAGTAATTCAACAAAGTAGCAAAGCTGTCCTCAGTGACGAAGTCACTTGCCGTGGCTACTTCTACCAGCTGATGCAAACATCCTGGAGAAAAATCCAAGAACTCAGCCTATCAATACTCTACAAGGAGTGAGGACATCAAGCTGTTGTGTGGGATGGTAGACATCCTTGCTTTTCTCCTTCTTGAGGACATACTGTGCCTGTTGTCATCAACTACTTCACAGAACACACACCAAATGGCATGGAACCCTTCATGATATACTTCAATGAGACCGATATGATAGGCAGCTATAGACAAGACCGACAATTGTTAGATAATAACCAGAATTAGGTGTTAAACCTACAATGCATCCCTCTCTCCATGCTACCCTTCAAAAATGTGGAATGTTCACGTGGAAACACTCGGGGATGAATCACGAATAAACAACCTTTGTGAGGGAGGGAACTGATACTCCAGATTGGTTGGTCAAAGCTACCCAACTATCTGGTGCTCTGTCCAGTGGATCAAAGTTGTGGAGGTGTGTGGGACAGGAAGGCAGTGTGGAGTTGTGTGAGGAAAATGTGTTGTGTGATGCCTGTGAATTTTGTTGAGAGGAAAGAGGTGTGTAATGTAGGGGGAAGTTGTGAAGGTGTGTGCGATAGGAGGGCGGTGTGAGGGCAAGGGGATAGGAAGTGGTATAGTACTCATTTTTTGCATGTATCCATTTTCTCTTGATCATACCTTTCACTCTTTTTGTCACATTCTCTTTCCACAGTTCACCAACTTCTATAACCATCTTATATATAATTCAATTCTGTCCATTTTTATACAGCATACCATACCAATTGTTTATTAACTTAAAATCCTGCCAAGTCCCTCACACAGCAAGGTCTAAAACAAGTGCCATACCTCTGGACAGTTATGAAGTAGAACACTATACATTACACTCCTACAGAATATTGTTGATATACCGAAGACATAAAGTTAACAGTAGTTGAAGCATTTGATGTTATTCAAGTTATTGCATTCACAAAGTTGCATCTACAAACAGATAGCATATGAACACTAGGTTAGGATATACTGTATAGCATGTCATACACACTTTCTGTATAGTGTGTTATTAATACTCAATTAGGATGACAAATGTGACCATCAGTGAAACTCAAAACAGGATCGTCTGAAAAATGGCAAATGAAATTCAACACCAGCAAGTGCAGCGTACTTAATATTGGAAGAACAAATACTTATAATGTATACAGCCTTAACAACATCAACCTAGAGAAGTCGACTTGTGAAAGAGACCTAGGGGTACTTGTAAGCCCGGACCTACGGCCTAGAAAACAGTGCGTTAATGTTCGAAATAAGGCAAACAGAGTATTGGGTTTTATATCTAGAAGTGTAAGTAACAAGAGTGCAGAGGTCTTATTGCAACTATATCTTGCGCTAGTCAGGCCGCACCTCGATTATGCGGTCCAGTTCTGGTGCCCCTATTATAGAATGGATATAAATTCACTAGAGTCGGTGCAGCGAAGAATGACAAAAATGATTCCGGGACTTAGAAACCTTCCATATCAGGATAGGTTAAAGAAACTTAACTTGCATTCCCTAGAAAGACGAAGAGTGCGGGGAGATATGATAGAAGTATTTAAGTGGGTGAAAGGAATCAATAAAGGGGATATAGATAAAGTTCTTAAAATATCCGAGCAGGATAGGACTCGGAGCAACGGATTCAAGTTGGATAAGTTTAGGTTTAGGAGGGAGATAGGAAGAAACTGGTTCACAAATAGGGTGGTGGACGAGTGGAACAAGCTTAGCAACTTTGTAGTAAGTGCGGGAACTCTGGAAAGTTTCAAAAGGAGGCTAGATAGATTCATGGATGATAGAGAGTGGTAGTAACTCTCGACAGGAGCTGCCATGCACAGGCCAGCCGGCCTATTGCAGACTCCTTATTTTCTTATGTTTCTTATATGCCATACTGTACTGTACTTATACCCTCCTGGTCTTCCCAATACTGATATAAACTATACATTTATTTAAATATATTATTTTTTATCAAAATTTTAAAATAGGAATATGTACTAAGAAAAGTGTTTTTTTTAGAGGTTACAACTGGGAATATGTATTTAAAAAATTACAGTACAGGTATAATAAAAAGTAAAAAAATAGAACAAATAACATCCTTCCATGGCATTATCTGTTCTTTGGCAGTATACAGTATTTACAAGAAAGACAGATATAATTTATAGATCAAATATTTCATATGAGTACATTTGCCAATACTTCGGTAAAGAAATTATATATATTTTTTTTAGACAGGACAGTTGAAAGAAGAACCATTATACAATCTATGACCCAGAGTAATCACCAATTGCTGTACAAAGATTCCACATATGTAAATATAAATGTTAACCTACAGTATGTCTTGTGATTCTGGATGTGGATGACAAAGCCATCAGTGACGGTACAAGGGCATTTTCAGAACTTCATTCTCAAGAAGTATAAATCAAAGAAACTCTGAACAACTTGCAGAATAGTGGCCCAGTATAAGTGTACATAATGGAGTATCATTCTGCCATCACTACTTTACCATCTTCTGAAAGAGTTTACGGATGTATACAATACATCCCGAGAAGTTGTCAGTTGCATTAAGTCTGTCCTCCAATTCCTGCAGATTGGGTATTTCTGGCGCAGAACTCAAAAGACGGTAATTATGTTCCTCTATCGCCAGCTCCAGCATGTACTCTTCATCGGGCTTTGATCGATTCACCTAAAAAAGTTTAAAAGGTCTTTAATATTCTACCTTTTCTTGGCATTACAGAATTTCAATGCCTTTAAAGTCTTTTAGATAATATATTTGCCTATATGGCTAAATATCTTGTATCGTAACTAATATCGTGAATGTCTCCTGGTATACAGCAGGTTCACAACACTCCCCATGAAACAACAACCATTGCATATTTCTCTGTCAAGATACCTGTCAATCATATGGATCCCTTCATTCAATCTTTCTTTAACATCTCTCCTTTTTTCCTGGAATGCAGTGTATTGTTTACCCCAATCTTAATCTTAACTACCTTCATGCTGTAAGTCAATCTTTACTCCTCATCCATACTTGATTTTTTTTTTTTGCCTTTTTAGAGTCTAATGTGAGGGACTGGTAGCTTGTTGTCAGTGAACATGTCATTTCAATACTTCCATTGGCCTGAGATGTTGTCTAATATTAATATAAATCCTTTGTATTTCTCTTGTCAAAGCAACCTTAGTTTAGACAGATTTTGAAGGTCATAGTGGATGACTGGATTATATAAGGGGTAAGTGAAGGTGGTTGGTATATAATGGGAAAAGAAAACAAGAATTTGAAATCAAGGAAAATATTACGGCAATGTATTTGTGATGGGAAGTGATATCGAAATATTAATGACAAATGAGTGATTTGAGACTGGTGCAATGCATGTGAATTGTGAACTTTCAGTACAGTATTACAGTAGTTACAAAACATATCTAAGATGGAGTATAAACGTTACAGCAGCTCATGCATCACACTGTTGTCTGTCAAAGGTCGCCCAGTTTCCCCTGGCAACAAGAAATAACATTGTTGTAATTTTGGTGGCCAGTTGACAACATGTTTCCTAAACACAGTTGTATACCTACTCAGACAAAGAAGTATTGTACTACTAAGAGGTCCCACTTGTTGATCAAAGCTGGCCCTAACCTATACTGCAATAAATGCTGAAACAAAACAATGCAATGCACTACTGACCTGTGTGAAAATGAAGATAAGGGAATTGTGGTTTGTGCGTTTAATGTCCAAACCCAAGTGAGTGTGGAACATTTGAGCACCACGTTCTATGTTGCTCATGGTGTCCTGCAAGAAAGACACAATTATCCAAAGTTACAATTAAGAGAAAGAGACATAGTTATCCAAGATTATACTGGAAATACAAGAGAAGTACTGTGCAGTGAATAGATGAAGAGGTTATGTTTTGAAATGACATAACCACATTAACTGTACTCCACATGCACCACTTTCAAGACCCTTTTATGATGTATGATGCAGATAGCAATATACTGTACAACACAGGAAAATATTCCTTCCTGGATCATCTACACTTGTCTGCTTCTTCAACTCAGTTAAGGAAGAGCAACAACAAGTACAGTATACAAAAAGGCTGAGATTAGTTACTTTACCTTGTTCTTGAGTTCAGTTTTTTCTGCTGCCTCCTCCTTAGCTTTTAATCTTGGCTCAAGATCATCTAATTTTTTCTTAAGTCCACCTCTTTCTTGACTCTGAAATTAAATAAATTAATTTTCAAAATTAGAATGATACACAATATAGTAGGTTTAAAATGCAATAAATAAAACACGAAAATTGTCCGGCAAAAGCTGTACAAAATATTAAAAGTGGCAGCCTTGTAGTGAAGGAGTTAAAAATGTTTGCTGTCAAATGAATAGTGTACTGTCCCAGCATTCCCTCATGTCACATTAATGAAAGTGTGATTGCACAAATAATCATCAGATAGTCATTACGAGAAATAAATTCTGTTGTACACTGCACTCGTTGACAGAACTTTTACAGCAATACACTACTCTACAGGTTGAGAACAAGAAGCTGCCAGGGGACTCACCTTCTCATTTAAATCCAAGTTAATCTGTTCAATATCTTGCTGTAGACGCTGCACCTCACGTCCCGCTTTGTCTTTATCCCCGTGAATATTTTCAATATCTTTCTGTATACTTGCTATATTGTGCTTTAATTCTGTGATGGTGTCTGAGGGAAAATATAATACCGTACAGTACTTCAATAAAAATTTTAATTGGATAGAAAAGAAACTTACTTGTTCTTGAAGTATTAATAGTGCATCTAACTGAGGGGAATAATATTATCTATTCAGGATGTATGTGTGTATGTGTATGTGTGTGTGTGGGGGTGGGGGGGTCTATCAGTACCTTGCAAGCAGAATGGGGGAGGGGGAAATGCTTAACAGTACCTTGATGGAAGGATGTGAGGAGAGATACTCTTGTAAACCAGGATTTGCCAAAAATTTCCTACAATATTTTGGTAACCCACACGAGACTATTAATTCCTTCACCATTATTCCCGAGTGTGTAGTGACTGCTTATGGTACAGTATATTGTAAAATATTTCGGCAATGTTATCCCCACAATATAGCACAGATGTCACATGAAAATTAGCCATCTCAGCTTATTTCACCTGATGATTAAACACACCTGATGCTACCTGGGAGGGGGATATGGGTAGGTTAGGTTATAAATTCTGCAACATTACTAAACAAGAACCACACCGGCTGCAAAGTATGACAACAAACAACCTGTAACTCACTGTAAAAGATATTAGCTTAAACTATGCAAGTAAAAATTGAATACAAAATTACAGTATCATTTCTAAAGTTGAGTTCTGTGAGATATTATCAGAGGTAAGGGAATATCAGGCTGTCCAGAAGGCAAGTGAGGACAAATAAACTTAGGTAGGTGGGTGGGAGGTATTTCAACAGATAGATAGATAGATTGACAACATGTGCATAATCCTGCTAAAACAAAACACATGAGACTTCTTCTATGATTCACCATGACAGTCTAAATATTTGTGCAGTAGTTGTGGTCTTACTTTATACTGGTATTTCTGCTGTAATAGATAGCTATACTAAAATCATGTAGCTACTGTACAGTAGCTAAACAACTATCAGTGCAGGCGGGGGTCAATATGCTCTGAAATTTTACGTGTGACTAGTGACAGCCCTCATATACCAAAATTTATCGTCCATGGTCTCATA